ATATACAAAATATGATGACTCTGTACTTGTAATTTATCATTCCATTCATATTTTTTGCAAAAAAAAAACATAATAGGCATGCAGTCGTCACGTTTCCGACAACGAGGGAAGTACTGTCTAAACTCTTTAGACCAATTTTTATATTGACCTCAGTTTATTTAGAGAGTGTCCTCTTATGGACCATGGTAAATCACAGAAGCCCTGTAAGACGTTTTTCCAATGAACCAATTTCTTTAATGTGATAGTACCTAGCAGCCTCTGTAAAAAAAGACGTTTTGTCCATAGTATATTACTTGCATAAATTTTATAAGAAAACTTTTCGCGAAGGTAAGGTGGCATTGAAGTGATTAAAATGGTGCGAATGGGGACAATGGTAGTAATGTTTCTTCTGAAGATGTGTTACTGGTTCATTTTTGGACATCAGTAAATTGTCAAACTTAAGTTTTCTGAAAAGAAATGCGGAAGGCTATAGAGCAAAGAAATCAAAAATTCTTAGCAGGCTTTTATGCTGTCCATAAAAGAAGCTGCGGATGAATTGTACTTAATGCCCAATGTAACCGATTTCTTGTTATAAAATTAGCAGTTCATAATATGTAATCAGTAAATGATATTCGAGATAAAGGAGCTGTTATAATTGTTAACGTCAAAGGTACGAAAATCAGGATTGATCGGTCTTTTCATATTGTAAATCCTAAGCACAAATCATTGCTGAAATTAATTGAGTTGTATCGGAAGTATACACCTTTTACACGCTTTTTTTTATATAAAAACGGAAAATGTTCAACTCAACCAGTTGGAAAAAATGCTTTAGGCAAGTACCATCGATTATTGCAAGCTATTTGAAGCTTGCTGATGCTAAATTATATACTGGGCACTGTATGAGAAGAACATCAGCCACTCTGTTAGCAGACAGTGATGCTGATTTAACAACTATAAAGCGTCTAGGGGGTTGGAAATCTGGAATTGTTGCTGAAGGCTACATAGGATCTTCAACTCAACGTAAAACGCTAATTGCCAATAATGAAAATAGTGAAAATGAAGCTTCAACCAGCAGAGACGAAGCAACAGCTAGCAGGACCAGCAGTCGTTGGCAATAGAAATAATGAATTCTTGGTTACTGTTCATGTAAATGTTAATGTTAATAAATAAAAGAATAAAATTTGGTATTTCACTTAAATTGTTTAGGAAATAAAGTACCTGTGTATTACCTAAAACGGGGGAATAAAGTACCATTTTACTCCCGGTTGGGAGGAAAAGCTGGTATTTAGCGATGCATTTGTGAAGGTGAAGGAGGGCTGTCACCCAGTATTATATTCAAATCGTTGCATTGGGCCCATTCACCCTTAAAAGACTTTACAATCGTGTTTTGTAATTAGCGTTTGATGCGATTTGTCGCGAAATGTTCTATTTCAGTTCGACGATGTCCTTTTTGAATTGGCGTTGGGAAATCAAAATGTCAAAGTGAATTTAGAAATTATTCCTGGATTCTCACTCAAATATCACTAAACAAGTCAAATTGAATTATTTTTTCCAATGTGATGATTATTATTGTAGGAAAAATTAAACAGAATAAATGCACAAATTGGTCAATTCCATGCCTTCGCTTTTTCAGCTAATCGGAGTAGAACAGCATTTTAATGAAATTTTAGCAATAAAACTCACTAAAATTGAGCAGCACTAGCAACATAACCCCATAAAACATCTTGTACGATTTGTGCATTATTCTGTGTAATTTGTCCTACAATAATCATTATTACACTGGATAAAATAATTAAATCCGAATTGTTCAGTAATTTCTGAGTGAGGCAGAGCGAGTAAATGTCCTAGCTTGAGTGGGTGTTCCGGATGTGTCCACGATGCTGCGGATGGACGTGTTGAGGAAGACGAGCTGCTCGAAGGGCTTCATCTCGGGTTTCTTGAATATGACCTGGGTGTATTCGGACGTGGCTCGTGTGATGGCGCACTACGACCAAGAGTTTCCTGTAGGGATTTGTGGACTGTTCCCAGTACCAATATTCGATCAGTTTGTGCATTTATTCCGTTTAATTTGTCCTATCATCACACTGAATAAAATAATTCGATTTGATCTGAGTAAGAATCGTGGAGTAATTTATAAATTCACTTTGACATTACGATTTTGCATGGCTAATCCAAAGATGCGATTGTCGAACTGAGAAGGAACGTGTCGCGACAACAGATTTTAAAGTCTTCTTACCGTGAATGAGTACGATGCAACGATTTGAACAAAATACTGGCCCATAGTTCTTCTTTACCTCCACAGATACATCACTTAGTAACAGCTTTAAAATGATCTGAGAAGATATTATAAAACAAAAACCAATTTCCCATGTTAATTCTTTGTCTCCAAACTTGTATGCAGTACCCTGTATAGTAAGTAGTTTGTTTAACTTTAGGTTGAGCTCATTTGAGTACTTATATATAGAGTTTACAACATTAGTCATGACTAATAAAAATAATAGCGTCGGCTGTGGAACTGTTATTAAAAGTATACAACTGAGTATGATTAGCAAAGGAAAAAAAATAAGCATATTTTACTTGGTTGGGTAGCTAAAACGAAATATGTACAAAAGATGTAGTAACGGACCCAACATTACTCCTTGAAGTACACCTGCTTTAAAAAAACTAGAATATAAAATTCTATTCTTGTAAAACACGTTTTGCAGTACAGTATTTAAATAAGGCTGAAAACAATTTAATACAATACTGTCAAATCTCAGGTACTTAAGTTTTGCTTCCAGAAGTTCATGATTTACGCAATCAAAATCGTTCGAATAATCCAAGTGCCTCTGTTTTTCTATATCCTTTATGGAAGCCGGGTTGCATACATGGTAAGATATTGTCACAGTATAGATATCAATTGATATCTATACTGTGATTTTGTCATTATTTTTTTAACTGTTTTTGACACGATTGTGATTAAACCAATTGGTCTGAAGACGTTAAATGATTTTGGGTATTTTTTTTGAAAGAGGTTTAACAATAGAACAAGAATTTATATTGTGAATAATATAATTATTGATAAAAGGACTTCAATGGTTTACCATATTAGAATTGAGAATTATTTTTTGTTTTATTTTATTATTTTTATTATTTTTAGTTTCTGACAGGCCGAGGCGCAATTACAGGAAACGGAACGTACACAAACACCCAAAGGTAGGGTGCTAATTGAACCCTCGACCATTATCATTTCTTGTGACGTTAAAATGAATGATGAATACGAAGGACTGGATTTCTTCTTTCGTTGGTAAAGAAAAGCTAAATTTAAGTTGTGAGTTCAGTTCTTTTATTTCGGTATTAGTTTATTGCTTGGCATGATAGTTTAGATTTATTAATTAGAATTATAGAAATGAAATGCAAGTAGAGTTTAATAGAGCTTAAATTTGAGCCACCAGTCACCTTTATTAGCTGATTTTCGCTGACTCCACTTATGCATAATTCAGTCACAGCAACAACTCTGTTTTTTTTTTGCAGGTGAATCTTTTGTCCATTTAAAGATTTCATTTTGACCAATGTGTGCATTTTTATACCAGAGTTTGGAGTTAAGTTTTTCCCAATTGTCGCACAGGACACACACCTTCGTCTTTGGTATGTGGGGTTAGCCATTTGCGGTGACTTAATTTCCTGGCTCCTCCCTGGGTTATTTTTTTGAAAACTTTTTTTCAAGAACTTCTGATTTTGTCAACGCTGCTGGACTTACCTTTTCTCAGGTTGAGCTTGCAATATCCTTCGCTTGGCGTATCTAGCATCCCTTGCTTTCTTGAATTGTGCATCTGTGAAAGGTTCAAAGACAATATCAAACTCATTGAAGTATATATTTTTCCTAGAGCATTTTAGCCGTGGTATTCCAAATCGTCTTCACAACGTATTCCTTGTATTCACTTCCGTTGGTTTTTCATGTTAAATGCCCAATCACATAATATTTCTGCTAATCTTTCAATGGAAATGGCATGGTGGAGCTTATAATTTCTTTCCCTGCAGAAGCTAGTAAATTGCCTCCAAATTGATACTTTTGTATTTATGGTGTTTTTCGGAACAGTTGCTTTAACCTTGATTTCAATTTTTTCCTTGTTATTAGAAGTTCTAATCTGAATGAAATCTTCCATTTCAACTACATTTTGTTTCAGCTACTAAATTCTGTCACTTTTTAATGTCGTTTAATGGTTGATATGACAATAAACAATAAACTGGAGGATTCTGGTTTTAAAAAAGTTTGCTGTGAAAGTTATCTCGAATTTTATCCACTTGCAACGTTAGGCAAAACTTTATCCGTTATCAAAGTGACGAAAATGAAGGGTGTTATTATGCATGAACTAAATTATTATCGCATTTACTATCCACTCAGTTATTGTCTATCTAGTGCTTAAGTTTGTCATGTTCTTTTTGATATAAATTTCTACTACTTTCTACTCTTTCGCTAAAAGCCCATTTTTAATTTTGTGAAGGTATTTAAAGTCTAGTAAGATCTACATTAACAGATTAAACTATTTGAACCATCTTAGGAACCGAATTCGAATAAAAATGAGCAATTCAATGAACAATACAAAATATTTACACACCTGCTGGTATCTGGTATACGATTGGTGGACGGTAATGTGAAATTTTACGGTTGTTTTGTCATTGGTTGAGTGCAAAATTTCGAAAAATAAGTCGAATTTTTGTTTTTCGAACTGTAAACGGATTTTTCCAAAGAAATGCTTCTTTCTTCCAAGATGTAACTAATACAAAGATCTACTACAATCCGAAAGAAACAATTAGGGCAGTTATTTACAAAAATCGTTGACGTTACTGTTTTTTAACACCAGCCTACTGCCAAAAGACTTTGGTGCAACATTTGAAAGATGCAGCAGATGCAGATACCTTAACATTTTCTTTACGAGTTTACATTTCTGAATTAAGTAGTTCGTTCATAATAATAATAAATTAATTTATTGTTCAAGTCACAATTACAGATTTTTTAGGAGAAAAAGTTAAAGATGAAAGACATTTATTTTTGTGTTTATTTTTATACAATACACTGTTTTGTTTTCAAAATTAAAGTCAAATATGTTGTGCAGTAAGTCAATAACTCTGTACTTGAAAAAAACTTCGTTGTTATCAAAACTTATCAAAGCGGTCTAATGGTAAGCTCATGTATCTAAAACAAACGGCATAGCTATAAAATAGACAACAACTTTAACTTACTTGGACATGCTCTGGTGTAGATAAGGCATAAACAATACCATTAGCAATATCTTCACCTTTCAGAATTGGCAACTTTTGCATAAAAACTTTCCTCTCCGGAGTCAGACTAGGATTTAAAGTGGTCCCTTCAGTTTCAACCAGACCAGGACTAACACTCTGCAAGACAAAAAAATCAACAACAAACACACACAAAGGAAAAAATTACAGTAATTTTAATTTTAAGTCCTTGATGATTGAATTCTTGTCTCAAAGTTTCAGTTAGAGCGGTAACAGCAAACTTCGACGCTGGGTAAACGCTTAGACCGGGATAATTGTGCACTTGATGCCCCAAAATGCTATTGACGTGTACGATGTGGCCATTGATTTTGTTCTCTTTCATAATTTTGACAGCTTCTCTTGTGGCAATGCTCAGTCCCAAGACGTTTAAATCAAAAACTGTTTTCCAGTCTTCAGTTTTGCCTTCTGTTAAGTTTGTATAAGCTACTATTCCGGCGTTGTTGATTAGAATATGAACGGGTCCCAAATTTTCTTTGGCCCATTTAAAGACTGTTAAAATATCTTCCTCTTTGGTTAGGTCAGCTTTGATGGCGTGGAGTTTTCCTTTCTTGTCTGAGAGTTGTTTGGCACGTTCTTCTATACATTCAGAACGGCGAGCGACCCCTAGTACCTAAAATGATATTTAAGAGTTTTATTAAATGAGATAAAATGTGGGTTTACGATTAAGCCTTTTTCGACGAGAGCATCTGCTACCGCGGCACCGATTCCAGAACTAGCACCAGTAACTATGGCAACTTTGCCCACCCATCTGTCCATGGAAAGTACCATTTTCGATAGGATTCTGTTGGTATGTGCTACACGTTGAAACTAAACTTAACTGTTACAAAAGGTACTTAAATATAAATTGGAAATTATCTACGTGTGTGTGTTTTTTATTATGATACAGCAAGTTTTAGCCACCTATGTTTATATCTGATAACGCTGTACTTTTAAGTGTTAAAATATCGATAAGAAATGACAACACTGGAAAAATATTTCATAATTATTCTTTTATGGTCTCACGTCTAACTTCAGCCATCACATCAAACAATTCCCGTAATATTGCTATTGTGGTTCTAATAGCATATACTCTAAATAACAAATTTCTACATGACATTCTTTCGATGCATAAACATAAATAAACACTTGAGCTTCGGTTTGCTCTTACCTAGTGCTGAAGGACATTTTATCCCATTAAAAGTGCTTTGCGCAGAGGCTGCGTTGGCGTTATTTATGCAGTTCGCTTTCACTTTACAGCGGTAATTTTCAAATGAAAATCGTAAAATCAAATTTTATAATTTTTTTAAGGGACTGGATTTGCCGGATTATGCTTCAAGGGCGTCGGAAGTTCTGTCGATATAGCCTTCGACCATTTTTTTAATTTCAAAAATATTCTCTAACATCCTCTCGTCAATGCTTTGGACCCACTGTTCAATTTTATTTTTTCACAAGAACTCCTGACTGCTAAAACTATCTTGTCAAAGATTGTTGCGGATTCTGCTCGAGTCGTCTTAAATCATCAACAACTTCCTCAGATACTGAAGGTCTTTCAGGAGATTTCCTTTTGTTGACAGTGCTAGCCGGATATTCTTGCTTATAAGCTGGATTTTTTAAATCCACGCTCTTAGAATCATTTATAAAAAGCCTGTACATTTCGCAGAAATTTGGTGAAGGGCTGTGCCTTTTCAGCCTTTATTTTTGCCCATTCTTCGGTAGCTTTTTTTATATGAGTTATATATAACCAAGTCTATTTTAACATAAAGAGGCAGATCTCTGTTTACCAACACGGATTTACTTCAAATCGATCTACATTAACAAATCTTACTTCCATGACTCAATCAATAGCTGATGCTCTAGATAACAGAGGCCAACTCGATGTAGTATATAATGATTTGTCGAAAGCTTTCGATAAAGTTAATCATGCATTGTTACTTCATAAATTATCACATGTCGGCTTCTCTGCCTCATTGGTTAGCTTTATTGGTTCTTATTTATTTTCTCGGAAAAATTTTGTAGTCTACAATGGTTTTAAATCGAATTGTTATATTGCCACTTCAGGTGTTCCACAAGGGTCCATCCTTGGACCTTTGTTGTTCTTGATATATATAAATGATGTAGTGGAGGTCATAGAACATTCTCAAATTTTAATTTTCGCTGATGACATAAAGTTGTTTCGTAAAATAGCTAATCCTGGTGATTGTGTTAAGTTACAAGTTGATGTAAATCACCTAATCGACTGGTGTAAATCGAATTGTTTGCCATTAAATAGGAAAAAATGCATAGTTGTTAGTTATGGGTTATGTGATGAAATCTTGCTCCACAATTATAACATTGATGGTAATGCTGTTCACAGATCTTCTACGATTTATGACCTTGGGGTGCTCTATGACTCTAAACTTAATTTCAATGAACATGTGCACACTATCGCTTCTACAGCGAGTAAAACCATTGGATTTATACTTAGGAATTGCAAGGACTTTAATACTGTGGCACTGATTACACTTTACAACGCATTAGTTAGATCTAAGCTGGAATATTGTGCACTGTGCTGGTTTCCTTATTATAACAGGCAAATTTTAATACTCGAAAATACGCAGCGTAGGTTTCTTAAACATCTATACTACAAAGAGGAAAGAAGATGGCCGGAAAGGAATTATCCTCACGCCACTCTACTAGCTAAATTCAATTTTAGTACTCTACATTGCAGGCGTATTTGTAGTGCACTCTTATTTTTACACAAATTGTTAAACAATGTTATAGACTGTAGTGAGCTATTGGAAAAATTACATTTTTATGTGCCCAGGATATGCAGTAACTCTTTACAACAGATGTCCGCGCACTAATATTGGAAGGAAAGCGCCTTTGTATGTTATGAATTTTTATTTAAATATGTTAGAGAGTAGAGATAGAATTGATATTTTTTGTTGTAGTTTACGCAGGATGAAACGTTTAATATTTGAGTTAAAATTAGGTTAATATAATTTTATTGGGTAATTACATTTGCGAAGTGTAGCTTTGGGATGTATTCAAAGAATTTATATTTTTCTTTATTGTGATGTGTTACAGATTAAGAGGTGTACCTAATTGATTTGTCCTGTAAATGGAATTATTTCTGTTGGGCAAATAAATCATATTTATATTTATATGAGGAATTGCTACGGCTGTATAAGGATCTTGTGGTTCGCTGGAAAGAGTAATAAATTTGTATTTTTCGGTGGTGGGTTCTAAGTTCTCGGGTTGGCTTATCTATTAATTTTGTCTGTGTTATGCTTTGCTGCCATATTCTTTTAAAACGCCTAATTTCTACAGTTGAGGTTTTAGTTTTTTGTTTTTTTTAATGTGTTAATGGAAGTTGAAGATTTATTACTTTATTTATCATTTCTTATTAATCAAACTTGGTCTTGTGATTAGTTTGTTTTTGTTTTTCCATCTCTTGAACATGATTGACTTTAGTATTATACCTGGGAGAACGATACTGACTATATAGTTACTCTCATATTAATCTTATATGATCCTCTATTGTTAAGCTAGTAGTTTGGATATGTTATTTTCGGTTTTTTTTCCATTTTGTAATCTATAATAATATATCTTACTGTCGTGGTGGTCATAGACACTCTGTTTAGGTAATTTGAAGTAGTTTTTAATGGTGAACTAGGTTTCTCATATTAATAATACCTATTTCATCATTAGTAATAAAACACTTATTCCCTTAAATATGTTTGCTCAAGCCGTTGACATTACGACATAAACTAAAAGAGAAAAAGGCCGTATTAAAAGAAAATAAACAAAAATTTTGATTTTGCGTTTATTTTTAACTCATTCTATAAACAATCTAGTTGGAACATAAAATAAATTTCTTGCGGTAAATTCGCAACTGTATTTACCAAAACCATTTTTATAGGAAAATTTATCACAAAGGTCTGATGGTAAGCTCATGAATCTAGAACACAAAATATAGCTATACAATCGACAAAAAATTTAACATACCTGAACATGTTCTGGCGTAGATAAGACATATACAACACCATTAGCAATATCTTCACTTTTCAGAATAGACATCTTTTCGATAGCAGCTTTCCTCTCTGGACTCTGCTTCGTATTCAAAGTAGTCAGTTCGCTTTCAACCAAACCAGGGCTAACACTCTACAAACGACTAAATTATCAACAAATCACACAATCGACAAAACTCACAGTAATTTTAATTTTAAGTCCTTGGTGGTTTAATTCTTGCCGTAAAGTTTCAGTTAGAGCGGTAACAGCGAATTTCGACGCAGGGTAAACACTTAGACCTGGAAAACTTAGCACTTGGTGTCCCAGAACACTGTTAACGTGTACAATCTGGCCATTGATTTTGTTCTCTTTCATGATTTTGACTGCTTCTCTTGTAGCAATGCTCAACGCTAAGACGTTTAAATCAAAAACGGTTTTCCAGTCTTCAGTTTTGCCGTCTGTTAAGTTCGTATAAGCTGCGGTTCCAGCATTGTTGATTAAAATATGAACGGGTCCTAAATTGTCTTTGGCCCATTTAAAGACTGTTAAAATATCTTCCTCTTTGGTCAAGTCAGCTTTGATGGCATGAAGTTTTCCTTTTTTGTCTGAAAGTTGCTTGGCACGTTCTTCTATACGTTCAGAACGGCGAGCGACCCCTAGTACCTAAAATTATGTTCAAGAAATTTATTAAAAATAGGTGATAAATGAGTTTACGATTAAGCCTTGTTCCACGAGGGCATCTGCAATAGCGGCACCGATTCCAGAACTAGCACCAGTTACTATGGCAACTTTGCCCACCCATCTGTCCATGGAAAGAACCATTTTAATGCAGTGTTATCGGTTCGTGTTACTCGTTGAAACTAAGGATATGTCATGAAATCTGCTTAAATAGATTCAGATTGACGGTTATCTACGTTTATATAATTTTTAGCATGATACAGCAGCTTTTAGGTACTCATACTTTAACATTTTATTGTAGAAGTGCTGATAAATATTTTTATAAAAAAAAATATGACTAGAGAATGCGATTCGATCATAACAGAAAAAAACATATAATAAAGACTAATTTATTCGCATATTTCTAACAAATATTCTAAGTCAATAAACGGCCATCACTTTGGAACTAGAACTCAACTTTGAGGACGATTTTACCTTTAACCTTGTTGCATTCAATAAAGAAGTGTAAGATTATAAGTTATAAAATAACATTCATTTTTGTGAATAAAACTAGATAAAGGAAATAATTTAATCAACGGATTTTGTAAGATGGAGCAGTTACTTTATTTGGAATAATAGGGGATTGGGTTGCAGGAGAAATGAATTTATTTGGGTATTAGTCAATGAGCGGAGGATGTAATAAAAATAATAGAAATAATTTCTTTATTCAGATAACTCAGATATCAACTTTCAATAGCGATTCTTACAAATACCTTCTTCTGATTAAAATGTTTCACCAACAGGTTTAATAGTTAACTCATGTACCTAAAAAATCGAAAACAATCATACTAAAGACAATCATTTTAACATACTTGAACATGTTCTGGCGTAGACAAGGCATATACAACACCGTCAGCAATATCTTCACTTTTCAAAATAGGCATCTTCTCTATAGCAGCTTTTCTCTCTGCTGTTAGATTCGGATTTAAAGTACTCATTTCGCTTTCTACCAGACCAGGACTAACACTCTGCAAAAGGCAAACTCAACAACAGATCATACAATTCGAAGAACTTACAGTAATTTTGATTTTAAGTCCTTGGTGGTTTAATTCTTGCCTTAAAGTTTCAGTAAGAGCAGTGACAGCAAATTTCGATGCGGGATAAACGTTTAGGTTTGGATAATTAATCACTTTGTGTCCCAATACGCTGTTCACGTGTACGATGTGCCCATTGATTTTGTTTTCTTTCATAATTTTGACTGCTTCTCTTGTGGCGATGCTCAGTGCTATGACGTTTAAATCGAAAACTGATTTCCAGTCTTCAGTTTTGCCTTCTGTTAAGTTTAATTGAGCTCCTTTTCCGGCATTGTTGATCAAAATGTGGACGGGACCCAAATTGTCTTTAGCCCATTTAAAAACTTTCAAAATATCTTCCTCTTTTGTCAGGTCAGCTTTGATAGCATGGAGTTTTCCTTTCTTGATTGACAGTTGTTTGGCACGTTCTTCTATACGTTCAGAGCGGCGAGCTACGCCTAATACCTACAACCATATTTAAAAAATTTATTAAATGAGATAATAGATGATCTTACGATTAAGCCTTTTTCCACGAGGGCATCTGCAATAGCGGCACCAATTCCAGAACTAGCACCAGTTACGATGGCTAATTTGCCCACCCATCTATCCATCGAAACGACCATTTTTAATAGGATGGTGTTAGTATGTGCTACGTGTTACAATTGAGGTAGCTAAAAAAAATGTAAGCGAAATATAGTTCGTGAAGTATAGATTGGCAGTTATCAATTATCTAAATGTATATAATTTGTATCATGATCATGATACAGCAGATTTTAGCTACTCATATTTTGAGGTTTTAGTTATGAAGTACCTGCATACAATTGTGGAATATTTTTAAATCTGATATCGCGTTATTGTATTTGTAAATTTTAATTGACAATTACATTCAACAATGGCAAAATAGCTGATATTAAAGACAGAAATATATTATGCTAAATGTTACGTATTTTGCATATTTTATAATTTTTTAATTGTTTGCATGCTTTGGTAATTGCCGGTCTCTAATAAAATTTTTGTTACTTAAGTAAGCTAAGTTTTAATATCTATAAATTTTTAGACCAAGGTAGGAATTTTTTTCCCTATTATTTTTTTTCTTCTCGAGCGTAAGCTCGGTTTCATCGAGCGGATGGTTGCTTTCATCCGCATCGAGAAAAGGTCGTGATCACGGTAGAAAAAAATAGGTCTCTCGTTTTCGCCTGTCTGTCTGTCTGTCCGTCCGTCTGTTATTTCTACATTTGTGGTGTGGGAATCCGTGTCTAATTTTCTCCATAGACATCCAAATTTTTGGAAAAAAAATCAAAATTACGTAACAGTATTTTGCAGTTTAACTTTGAAACTGCAAAACCGAATGCTCTGAAATGTTGTAAACATTTAAAGGATACCGTAACCATAGTAAATCGTTAAGAATAATTAATTAGTTTATCTCCTCCCAAAAAATTGATGACGTCATCTCAAATTTCAAAATGTGCAAAATATGATAAGCTTTTACTTGTGATTTATTATTACATTAATATTTTTCAGATGTGCTAATACAGGTGGTTCAAAAAATAATGAATTAATGAATTTATATTATTGATCAAATCAAGAACGACTCATTCCATATTTCCGAAAATTAGGAAACACAATACTGTTATTGTTTATATTACACTGCGCCAACCCAAGATGTGTCTTTGAAATAATGTTGATGACGTTATCCTGAGCGAAAAACCGTACCGACGTCACCCTTTTTTCTTTGCCGTCAAAAGCCGAAACTGTGGAGCACGCGTCGTCTTTCGCCACCGCGCTCCCCTCCAGGTTCACCATACCGTCCCAGCGCAGTTTTCCGTTCTACGGTCACCGCCCCCAGGTCCAGGAGAAACCCGTCCTGAAGGAAGGCGCCGTCCAGTTGTTTTGGCGGGCGCTCCCCAGACCACCTGGAGATCCGTGTCCCTGCCTTTAGAGCAACCCCGGTGTTTCCTCCCCCGGAGAAGAAGCTGGTGACCGAGCGACCACCGCTCCCGACCGAAGGTACCACCCCCGGTGGCATGATGGTGTTGGCATAAGTCTAGGTCGGCCAGACGTGTTTCTATTTCAGCGGCACTAGTCGGCCCAACGCTTGGCACCGAGGCATGCCGCCCCCACGCGTTATCGGCGAAATTCAGGACCATCCTTGTACGTACACCGGAATTTCGTCGCAAGGGGCAGTTACACCATGACCAACTATAGTAGACCAATTATTATTTATTTATTTATTTATTTATTTAAAAAGGTATAAGGTTATATGGCCATCATAAAATCATCCCATTGTGTCCAAGTTAAGTTGTTTACAATAGATAAGGTTTTAGGGTCGTAAATAACGTGTCCACTGTAGCTCGACTGGCTGTTATGGCTTCGTTCAGGGAGGCTTTCACTAAATATGAAAATCCACAATTCCACTATTTCTTTACTACCTGCAGCCGCTGAGGGTTCCGAAATAACCACTCGCTTTGAAAGCCGGCCCTGTTAAATGTGAGCAAGAAATGTTTAGACGATTTATTGCCAACCGGTAAGCTTAGTGCGAACCACAAAAAGGGGGTATTTATTTGGGGTCAACTACTTTTGGTCATATAACCTTATACCTTTTGGACAAGTATATATTCCATGTTCATTACTTAATAGGTATTTAACTTGAATGTACCATTCATAATAAAATAATTAATATTATGAGGGGTATTTAGTACTTTAGACCGCAACCTGCAATAAAACGATTACGAATGTGGGCTCTGTCAAGTCCCACAAAATTGTATAGCACCTTCCAAGAACCCTTTAAACACAACTGTTTCCACCGTTTTCTACCGACCTTTCTTTTCATTTCAATTTCACAAACTCCAAGACTCTTCCTTCAACCGCCGTACCGACAACATCAAAATAAATACGCCAAAACGTAAGTGCTGTTTCAATCACCTGATCACCCCACAATTGGTGACCGCGACGTGAGTTGTTTCCAAATGGTGAGTGATCAGTGTGCACACAGTGTCCGCGTTTTCGGTGTTCCAACATAATTCGCCCTCCGCCTGCCCCGTTTAATTCTACGTGTGCACCGTATAACCATGACACCGCAAAACGACGATTCGACTAACCCAGGCTCGACTACAAGAATGGACCAGCTGGAATCCATGTTCAAAAAGGCACTTGCAAACCTCGCCGTCATAAAAATGGATTCTGGCGCTTCGGACAAAATGCCAGAAAATGTGAAAAACCTTGCAGGTTTAACTCAGATACGGGAAACGACAGGCGACCAACGATGCAAGCCCGCAAACCTCCAGCCGATTATTCATCGCCGACCGTCAAACAAAAGTTCGGTTCCTCATCGACACCGGAGCTGACTTGTGCGTCTTCCCACACACAAAACTGCCAAAACCGCGAGCAAAGTCCAACTACGAACTTTCCGCGGCAAATAGCACAACCATCGCTACATACGGGACGACCACGCTTTCGCTGGACTTGGGGCTACGAAGACAATTCACCTGGAGATTCGTTGTAGCGGATCTTTCCAAGCCCATTATTGATGCCGACTTCCTCGCCCATTACGGACTCCTGGTGGACATCAGAAATCACCGGCTCTTGGACCAAGTCACTCATCTCACCTCCCGTGGAGAGGTGGTCAAGTGTGAGTCCCACACAATCAAGGAGGACCCGGGTGGGTTAGGTAGCTTCGTGCTTGCCCGCTACACCCTGGGTCGTGGGTTCGATTTCCGCCCGGCTCTGGGTGTTGTGTATGTCCCCCGTTCCCCTGTAATTGGGCCTCCGGCCTGTTGGGGAACGTAATCAAATAAAATAAAAAAAAAATAAAAAAAAAATAAAATCGCCGGATCATCATCATACCACCAACTCCTGCAACGGTTCCCGGCAATAACGCGACCTAACGGTACGGCTCAAGTCGCTAACCACGCTACAAAACACCACATCGCAACCACTCCTGGACCGCCGCTCGCCCAAAAACCACGGCGACTTGCACCCAACAAGCTTCGCGCCGCCAAGAAAGAATTCTAACTCATGGGTATCGCCCGCCCATCGCAGAGTCCATGGTCGTCACCCCTACATATGGTCCCAAAACATGGCGACGAGTGGAGGCCGTGCGGAGATTACCGTACACTCAACGCCAGAACAATCGCAGATCGCTACCCGGTAAAACACATCCAGGATTTTTCGCAGTCGCTGTCTGGAAAAACAATTTTTTCTACCATCGACCTGGTGCGCGCATTTAACCAGATACCGGTCGCCGAAGAAGATATTTACCACTGACATCCGTCACATTTCCGGAGAAGACAACATTGTCGCTGACGCTCTTTCCCGAATTGACGAGCTTAAATTCATACTCAACTACGAAGCTCTCGCAGCTCACAACAAGATGACGAAGAATTGCAGAGTTATCGAGAAAACAACTCCGCACTGCAACTTCGATTAATTCACATTCCCGATACTAACGCTACAGTTTTTTGTGATGTCAGCACGAAGACAGCACGCCCATTCATAACCAAACCATTCCGAAAAGCAGCCTTCAACACCGTGCATCGACTCTCACACCCCGGAGCAAACGCGACAGTCAAACTCGTAACCCAGCGTTACGTATGGCCGTCGATCAAGTCCGATTGTAGGCTGTGGGTCCGCAATTGTCTGCAATGCCAGAAGTCAAAAATCTCGCGCCACGTTTCTGAGCCCCTCGGCTCCTTTGCACCACCTTTCGCCAGATTCTAACACATCCACATCGACATCGACTTAAAATGTAAATCATAATCAAAGTGAAATGCCTAATAAATTTAAAACGTTACCAATAACTTTGAATGTTACTACATTTTTGATCGTTTATTTGAATTAGTACGTAGTATCTTTTTTGAATTTGTTTTGAATCTGTCTTAATCAGGCTTGTGGGAACTGTAACTATATTAGGTGAAAAGTTAGTGACATTGTTTTCAATATTTAAATTATTTTTGGTCGCAAATACTTCATCAATATTTACCGTTCTACGACTGGTGTCGGTGTTGGCGGAGTACTTTTTGACTTTACAAAAATTGCTCGTCGTTCAGATCTTCTAAATCATTTGCAGTGTATATATCATCATTAACATATAACTTGTTTCCTTTAATATCAGCATTCAGTTTCTTTGTTTAGCCAAACTAAGATGGGCTCTTAAAATTTTGTATGCCTTAATTTCATCCGTGATTAAATCGTTATTTATATAAATCCTCGAGCCTTTCAAATTTTTGCGAGCTTGGAGTACTTCATATTTTTTAATACCTGAGATAAATTCAATAATTACCGGTCTTTTGGTTTGGTTTTTTCCTATTAAGTAGACATTATTTATGTCAGAAATGCCAATTTGGATGTGTAGAAACTCCTTTATTTTCTCACATACAAAGGAGGCTGGTTCCGGTGAGGGTAAGCGTTCATTTGTTACTTCCAATCCAAAGATGTTAATATTGTTTTTTTTTTTGTTTGCTTTTTCTAGATACTTAATTTTATTTTTTAAGTACTTACTCGTTTTCTCTTAATAACTGCTGACTTCCTTTGGACAATATACTAGTTTCAGCCTGATCAATTTTGTGATTTAGATCCTCACGTAATTTAGGGATTTCGTTGAGAAGGCCTGCATTTGAAATACTCGTTTCGAGGTTTTATCAGTTACTGACAAAAGAAACCGATTTATAAAAATGTATTCAGGTTTTTCACATGTGTATTATTTCTTAAGTAATGTAAGCATTAAGAGAGATGTCGTTATTAAAGACCTGGGTGTAATTTTTGATGTAAAATTACAGTTTGCTGAACACTACAGATACATTGCAGGTAAGGCGTCCAAAATTACGGGATTTATTATACGTAATTCAAAATCGTTTAATACTGAATGCGTTAAGAAATTGTATTTTTGCTACGCAAGATCTCTACTCGATTATTGCTCTACTGTGTGGTCACCTATAGATCAATGCCACAAGATGTCGTTGGAGAAGATACAGAGACGGCTCCTGAAGTATCTAGCCTTTAAAAGCGACAATATATACCCTCCACGCAAATTTCCAGAGAACCGGCTACTTGAAAGATTCAGTATTCCAGCTCTAGAGATAAGAAGAAATATCCTTGCTGTATCATTCCTATATAAGGTCGTCAATGGTTATATCGATACACCAGAAATATTGGAAGTTATAAAATTTCGCGTGCCACAACTTCAGCTCAGAAGTACAGATACGTTCTATTTGCCTACAGCCAGAACAAAATTATTGAAGAAATCACCTATATATCTGATGTGTTCAACCTTCAACAAATACGGGAAAAGCTGCGATATATTCTACGATAGCCAAAGATGCATCAGAAGTATCATTTGTTTAAAGTCGATGGCTAATTTCCAATAGTAAATTATGCTTTTGAATATTTCTTTTTTTCTTTAGATTTCTTTTTTTAATTTATGTAATTTATGAGTTATCGTTTATTCATTTATATGTGAAATTATCTATAACTACCACTGTAATGTCAAATAGTATTTTATTTAGAATTATATTCGGTCAGGTACATATTATCCTATAATTGGGCCACGGTCTGTTGGATAATAAACATTTATTTATGTGTAGTGTTGTTTATTTATTTATTTATTTATTTATTTATTTATTTATTTATTTATTTATTTATTTATTTATTTATTTATTTATTTATTTATTTATTTATTTATTTATTTATTTATTTATTTATTTATTTATTTATTTATTTATTTATTTATTTATTTATTTATTTATTTATTGTATCGCAGTAATGTGTATAATTATTAATTATCAAAATAGTAGGAGTACTCACACAATACGCGTGCACACCGCACACTTCTGTGTATCGCGCACACAAAAACGAAGCAAGCACCAGAAAAAAACGCCGAATAAACTATTTAGTTCAATTACTCGAAAATAACTAAATTGTTGAAAGAGTCACTTATACCACTGAAATGATTGGTCAAAAACACACAAAATGGCACTGAATTCAAAAATATAAGCCAAGAACAACCCGACCAAACTTAGCAAAAACGAGAACCCCGTGTCACAGCGACTTATCTACTCTTCTCTCTTCAATGCTTCATTAATTATGTCAACATCGGCAAAACTAGGTACATGAACAAGTTTTATGCCTGATATTCTTTAAACTATTCAACAAATGACCTGTGTCAACATTTCGACGACTGACGGTTGACGACAAATTTTTCGTTGTCATTCTTTGCACTAGAAGACAGTAGATTATGACCAAGAGCAAGATCAACAGTACCATTGCCAAAGTTACAATCGTCAGTCACAGTGGTTCTAATTCTATATTAATCCACCCCACTTTTTACTTCCTGAGCGTAAGCTAAATCTCCCTTTCTTGACTATTTTCTTCTGCCTCTTCTTTTAATTTTCTTTCTCTTTTAAATACATATATAACTTATAATGCCATGTCATGCGTGTTAATTGTTTCCCTATCTTAAAATGTATCACTTCCTATTCTGCCTCAGATTTTACAATTGTAAAATTTTTCACTGACTTTCCATTGTTACTTCCTGAGTGTAATCGAGTGCGTCGGGCGACTATCTACTTCCATGTTTTCTCGACTTATCAAGACCCCTAGAGTACGAAAAAATAGGTCTCTCGTTCCCGTCTGTCTGGCGTCTGACGTCTGTTGTCTGCCATCTGGTCGCATTTGTATCGATTTTTATTAGATCGATAATCTCTAAAACTACCACTCTGGTAGTTGTTGTCAAATTTTGTATGTAAGTATATTAGAAATATCGTGCAGATAACGCTAACCAAATTTTGGCTAATCATCCCTACCTACTTATCTTCAAAATTTACAATAGTAAATGTTATTTAAATTTCATAAAATGACGTACTCCTCCACGAATTCAAATTGATATACAGTCATGTTTACATAAATCCCGTACAACCTCACTTTTACGCAGTGTCAAAGTCAATACAAAATTAATAGCATGGATACAAATTCAGATTGACATTTGTACAGGATTTATGTGCGCATGACTGTACGTGTCCTTACTAAAATGATGATGACGTCATAAAAAAAATGTGTGGAAAAATTCACTAGAAACACGCATACGATAGGATGCTTCTTTACCTGTATTTTAACAAATCGTACATCTATTAATTTTAGCTTATAAGGGTCCTCATAAAGAAAAAAAATATATAATTTATTGAAGCTGTATTTGTTCTGTCGAAAAAACCTTCGACCATTTTTTTAATCATTTTACAAACACGTCCTTTTGGTTTGAATATACCTAAAGTTCAAACATTTCTTGAAGTCGGTCTGTTTCGAAGAACAATTTTTCTTAGACCTTTTCACCAACAGGCTTAATAGTAAGCTCATGGACCTAAAACAAACTGAAACAGCTGCACAACAAACACATTCTATAACATACTTGAACATGTTCCGGCGTGGACAGGGCGTACACAATACCATCAGCGATATCTTCACATTTCAGTATAGGCATCTTCTCCAGAGCAGCTTTTCTCTCCGGAGTTAGATTCGGATTTAAAGTACTCATTTCGCTTTCAACTGCACCAGGACTAACACTCTGCAAAAGACAAAATCAACAACAAATCACCCGACTTACGAAACTTACAGTAATTTTGATTTTAAGACCTTGGTGGTTTAATTCTTGTCTCAAAGTTTCAGTCAGAGCGGTTACAGCAAATTTCGACGCAGGGTAAACGTTCAGACCTGGATAGTTCACCACTTGGTGTCCCACAATGCTGTTAACGTGTACGATATGGCCGTTGATTTTGTTTTCTTTCATGATTTTGACAGCTTCTCGTGTAGCAATGCACAACCCTAAGACGTTTAAATCAAAAACTGATTTCCAGTCTTCAGTTTTGCCTTCTGTTAGGTTTGTATGAGCAACTCTTCCGGCATTGTTGACTAGAATATGAACCGGTCCCAAATTGTCTTTAGACCATTTAAAAACTTTCAGGATGTCTTCCTCTTTGGTCAAGTCAGCTTTGATGGCATGGAGTTTTCCTTTTTTACCTGAGAGTTGCTTGGCACGTTGTTCTATACGTTCAGAGCGACGGGCTACACCGAGTACCTAAAATGATGTTGCCGAGATTTATTAAATGAGGTAAAAGTGGTCTTACGATTAACCCTTTTTCGACGAGAGCATCTGCAACAGCGGCACCGATTCCAGAACTAGCGCCAGTTACTATGGCCAGTTTGCCCGCCCATCTATCCATAGAAAGAACCATTTTTACTTACTTAGTACGATGTTGTAGGTGCGTATTTTTTGTTGAAACTAATCAAACGTGTAAAGGACGCTCTTAAATATAGGCCAGCGATTATTATCTAATCGTACAAAATCTTTATGGTGATGCAGCAGATTTTTATTTTCCTATTCATGTTTGACCTTAATTGTTGAAGTTAACTTGTAGAAGTTAAAATGTTGCAAATATTTTAAATAGATTGTGATAAATCTCAAATAAGTCAGTCTAATTAGTTTTTATTTTATATTTGATTTACATAAATAATGCATAAACTTGTGCAGCCATATTGTATCGTAAAGTAAACTGGGTGAGTGTGCATAATTTTAAATTTCATGCTATACGTGTGTTTAGGCAGGGCGAACGTGAGAGAAACGCAACCTGGAATACATGTCAAAAGATTTATAGATGTAGCTATTTACATATTTATCCTAACCATTATCATTTTGACAAAATCAGCATTTTTAAACTTTACAATAAAGATTTATTTAATTAAGGCCAGTCGTTACTGTGATTCTTACGGGGTTTTCAAGTACTCAAATTTTAAATATGACGTGTCCCCAATTTTCTCTATGTAATGCAAAATTTTTCATCACGTATGTTTAAATGTCAAAATTTCAATAATTTTGAACTAAATTTAGGAACGCAGTTATCAGCAATGTCTTCATCAGTTTACAAAAATCTGTAAATCGCAAGGAAAACATTTTTGTCGATTTGTTTTGTACTGCGACGAAATTCCGGATGGGACGGACGGTCCGGTGACGGTCCGGAATCTCGCCGATAACGTATGGTAGCGGGGTACTTGGGTGCCAAGCTTTGGGTCGACTAGTATCCCTGATGTCAGAAACACGTCTGGTCGACCAAGCTTATGCGGCGACCCTCACGCCGCCGGGGGTGGCGCCTTCGGTCAGGAGCGGCGGTCGCTCGGGCGCCAGCTCCCTCTCCGGGGGACGGAGCGCCGGGGTGCTCTAAATCCGGAGACACGGAATTCAGGAGCCTTTGGGAAAACACGAGAATAAAGAAAATAAAACAGCAAGAGATATTTTACAATAAATAGAGTTTATTCCCTGCCACCAGCTACACGGTCTAAAATAATTGTCTTACTGCTAAGTCTTAATTAACTACAAGTTTAAACAAGCAAAAAGAATTAAATGCCCGACACGGTCGTTCTTCTTGGGCGGCGACTTCCCTCAGGACGGGCTCCTCCTGGCTCTGGGGGCGGCGACCTTGAACCTGGAAATCGCGCGAAGACGGCTCGGCGACCCGGGAGGGGAGCGCGGTGACGCTAACGACGTGTGCACGACGGTTTCGACTTTTGACGGTGACAAAAAAAAACCGGTGACGGTGACACGGTTTCTCGCTCGCGGGCGGCTATTCGAAAACCGGTAGTAACACAGGCAGTCGACCCGAAAAGTACTTACGGTGGTCGGAGGGTCGAACTGCTCACTTTGCCACACTTCACAAATTTATTATGGTTAAATATCACAGTAAATGTTCAAAATGTTCATTATTTTGTTCAAGACACATGTTCAGTCTCTTTTTGATTTCAAAAATTTTCTGTAATATCCATCCGTCAATGCTTTGAATCTATTGTTCAATTTCATGTTGCTTCAGGAACTTCTGACTACTGATGTTCGGATTCTGCTCGAGTCGTCTCAAATCATTAAAAACTTCCTCAGATACTGAAGGTGTTCCAGGAGATCTCCCTTTGTTAACACTGGTAGTTCGAACAAACCTGTTGGTTATAACTCTATTCTAACGATGTTTCTTAAATTTGCAAGTTAGGGTATTTGGCTACATATTCTTGCTTACTACAAGCGGTTACAGAATACACTCACTCTCCATTTACGAAGGTCCTATAGCGATAATAAGACATAAGAATGATGGTGTCTTGTTCAACAGAATAAACCATTTTCACAAAACAACGACTGTTTTGTTGTTTTCAGCTTGTATCAACGAGAATAACTGTAATTCACACTTGAAAAACGTTAAAACAATAAAAGCGATACCTTTAAATGACAGGTTACAAATGATATTAACGACAAGTGAGAACTGTCCTAATGGGGCATAATTTCAGCAAAGCGGAATTTTTGAAATCCATGGCCAACTATGCTTTTTTTTCCTTTCAGATCCATCTTTACTTTGTTAGAGAATAATCGATAATAGATTTCTTCTTCTTGCTTTCTTCAACTTTAGCAAGTTTGTGAATGGCTTTATGTTTTTAAACACCAAATTATCTTCTAAGCTGTTTTTTATTATTTTTTCTTGGTAAAGGTAAAGACTAATTTTCCTTTACCAATTATTCCTTTATGCTCAGTTCTTTCATTATTTTCATCACATCTATTTTTTTTGCAAGGAAGTGTGATGCTACTAATACAGGACGTTCCAACTACAACCCAAACACATTTATCACAAACCCAGATTTTTACCATTATCTTACATATCTATATAGGGTGCTTTTGAACTACATGTAAAGAAAAAAATCTGGTGAATTTAAGTATTCTAAAAAGTTGAATAAAACTTTGTAGACTTAGTAAATCTTTAAGAAAAATTGAATCCCTATTTAGACATTGAAAACTCCATTGGGAAATTATGACTTCAAATCTCTAGCAATAAAAGAGTGACGACTTGTGTCCATTACTGGTATCAATTTATTATACAAATTCTATTGTTGCTAGATTAAAGATAAAACAGAAAATGTACAGTACAAACATCAGGCTTCCAAGGAGTTTCTAAACCTTGCCCGCACATAATCAATAAACCATGACCAATTACTATTAAAAAAGTTTTTTTGCAATTTAAAACCACCCTGTATGAACACTGTATTATAGGTACTGACAGTACACATATGAATTTGAGTAATATTTTATAAGTGGATTTTATTTTGTTCTATAGTATTAGACCTGGACTAGACTAGCTACAGACTTAACGACATTGGGTAAAAAGTTTTCCTAAGTTACTAGACAGGAATTACAAAAACGACCTATTTTGAAAACAAAGACATTGCTGATGGCATTTTATACATATACGTTTTGTCACTGCTAAGACATGATCAAGTTTAGTATCTGTGATCTTAACTATTTATTATATAATATAATTTATTTTTACGCTAGGTTCATGAACTTACGATAACATCGTTTTAGCAGCAAGGAAATTCCAAAAATTATGTTAATTTTTGAATTGTAGTTTTTGACAAAAAGACTAATAATGTTTGTAAATTCCAGGCAACTAATTGAAATAAATCTACTTAACTTCAATTTTTTATTTCACACTGTGCCAAATTTTGATTATTTACGTGAACTCTTCCAGGCGGGGAAAACGCAAATAACGCACGAATCCTGTGAAGTGTTGCTATGACTACATAATAATGTGCTCCTATTATTTACAGAAATACATTGCTCAACATTTGCTATTAGAGCCACAAGAAATGGCAAGACTTAAATTTTTCAGATAGGTAAGAATTGTCAAAATATTTAATTCCAAAATTTTGCGTTAATAAAATTGGTCACAGTATGAAATAAAATCTGTTACGTCCTAGAACCGGGAACCTTTTTTACAGCAGCACCTATTCATTTTAATATCGGCTTCGTTCGATCGCCTCGCTCTGATATATGTTATTCGTAATGCAAAGTATATCTTTTCAGATTTATATCGTAAATTATTACTATAATTGCATAGATAGTCGTTCACTTCACGTAAAATAATTGATCTAAAAGTATTTAGACAAAACTTCCCTTGGCCTTAAAGTACTAACGAACAACTACAGATTCTTCGAAAATTAGAAGCATGCTGTGTGTGTACTTCAAATGAGTTTTTCCTCAAAATTTTGTGATGATAAATAGGTGCAAATTTTTGGAAACAAAAAATTGACTTTCGAACGTTAAATCAAAATAACAACATTTAGAAGTTGTTAAAGCGTGTGATTTTATAAACAGTTCCGCAGATGTGCTAAATGTAATACGGAAACAAGTCAGTTTAATAATCGAATCAAAATTTCACCATAAGAAATTATTATTTCAGTAAATAATGAGATTTCATCTGAATTGGAGTAAGACTGACATTTGTTTATGTATACTATTGTATATTATACAGGCTTATTATAAAGTAATACACAAAATTCATAAAAAGCCCAGCATTTGTTTTTGAAAAAAATGTAAAAACGCTTCAAGCCTTTCATTTTATCCTCTATCTTTTGACATATATCAAAGAAATTTTACGACAAATTTGTAAAAGTTATGACGTCATAAATGATTTTTTAAATGAGACGCTTTAATTTTGATCGGATTATTTGATAAGAAGATCAGAAGATGATCCTGACAGACGATTGGAATTTTGTAAAAGCTTCATGAGACATTGTGACGACAATTCCAATTATTTAAAAATGTCATATTTTCGGATGAACCAATATTTTAATTCAATGGTACCGTAAATCGACACAGTTGTCGTTACTGGGCTCGAGAACAACTTCACTGGGTTCAAGTGGCACAGACCAAATATCCCCAAAAAATTAATGTTTGGATGGGAATAATAAACAGAAGATTCATTGACCCGTACTGTTTTAACGGAAATTTAACAGCAGATCGATATTTAGATCATCTTAGAATCACAGTGCTTCCAGATATATATAATTGCTACGTTTCCTGATCCAGATAATGACAAAATTTAGATCGCAGGATTTGGTTCCAACAGTATGGAGGACCACCACTTTACGGCGTAAATGTAAGAGTTGTTTACATAATCAATTTGATAGAAGGTGGATTGGAAGACGTGAATCGATAGAATGGCCACCTAGATCTCCGAATTTGACATCTCTTGATTTTTTGTGGGGACATTCAAAAGTTCGTGTTTACATGAACAGACCTGATAATTTAGACGACTTGAAAACATGAATTCGGGATGAAATGACTCGTAATCCCCATAGTATTGAAAATTCCGTCAGTCAGATCTACCGTCGTTTGAGTTTGTGTCAGATAGGAACAGGGAACAGTTTGAACAATTTCTATATCATAAATTTTTATTTCAACGTATTGTCCTGTTTATTTAATACAGCGTGTTATTGAAAGGTACGTACGTTAAAAAAAGTTCAGGTAAAAGTGTTCTCCTTTTAGAGATAAAAATTATTAAAATTGATGTCCAAATTCGTTGTACGCCTCTGATAAAAAGATCATCTTTCGTTTCTATAGCAACATTTACTCTTGACAAAAGTTTTATTCATGGCCGACTAGTATAAAGATTATGGCCTGTCCAAGAGGTACGATACGTGTTGCCATCTATTAATAATTACACTTAATAATTTAGCAAAATTTTAATTTGACTTGACATTATGGGACTTCAAAACGTGTAATGGTGGTTTGTTTCGGTATGAATGCCTTTGTGCCTTTCAAAAGGTGTTAATAATTCTTTTGTCGTTTTTGAATTATTAATAGATGGCAGCACGTATGGTACCTTTGGCATTCCTTTGGACAGGCCATAATCTTTATACTAGTCGGCCATGGTTTTATTGTTACAGTTGCTAGGAGTTACTAAAATAAATTAATTTTACCTATTTATCCTTCAGTAGCGTCTAAAAAGGTTGGATAAGGGTTAATTTTCCCCTTATAATTTTGATAACACAAAATAAGTTTTTCAGACGTCGCGAATAACTGGCAATTTTGTTGTACGTACCTTTCAATAACACCCTGTATTCATCATTAAAATAAACTTTATTGTATTGGTTGTTAATTTTCTCAATTTTTTTGTTATGCAACCCCTAGATCAAACGACATTTTCATATGCAGATAAATAAGCTTTATCAAACAATGCAATCAAAATTATACCCTCCTATTTAAAAAAATCATTGATGACGTCATAACGTTTACAAATTTCACGTAAAAGTTTTTAACGTATGCCAAAAAATGGAGAGTAAAATAGAAAGCTTGACTTGGTTTTGCATTTTTTTCAAAACCAGATACTGGGCTTTCTATGAATTTTGTGCATTACTTTATCATAATCCTGTATATGTCTGCATTTATTTATTATTTTGTATATTTTGTTTGTACATACCTGTTTGTATCATTAGAAATAAAAACGTTGGATATTTTACTGGTATAACGTAGGTACTTACATATGTAAACCTTAACCCCGCATAGATGGTTGTTTTCATTTTATACATAAAATTTCGGGGGTTAGTAAAGATGGCTCCAGTCCGGATCTGAATTGTTCTACTTTCTAACATCTGGTGACTACTTTGCAACAACTTTGAGTTGTAAATATTTCTTGCAATTGTACTATTGTCAGTCCCGTTATTGGCAATAAAATTTTATAGCGTATATTTTTATTTCCCAAACTATACAGTAGATTAAATTCGCAGTAGACTAGGTGTTTCTGAAATGTCACTGCGCGCATGCTAGAAATTGTGATAACGGCAGAGATATGTTACATATCTCTGGATAACGGGATCTGTAGTAGGAACTCCCTCTCGATATAGAATTGTTGACTGGGTAAGACGTTTTGTTGACATAATACAAAACATTGACACGTGCTCCATTTTATCAACACGTATCAATAAATAAGCACACTATAGAGGTTTTGCATTTTATTTTTTAATCAATTTACATTCAGCTTTGCTTTCACTTGAATATAAAGCTCAAACATTTCTTGCAACCTGGATTTCGATAGACAATTTTTCTTAGGCCTTTTCACCAGCAGGCTTAATAGTAAGCTCATGGACCTAGAATAAACTGAATAGCTACACAACAAACACAATTTTTTAACATACTTGAACATGCTCCGGCGTAGACAGGGTGTACACAATAGCATCAGCAATATCTTCGCTTTTCAATATAGGCATGTGTTCCATTATAGCTTTTCTCTCAGGAGTTAGTTTTGGATTTAAAGTGCTCATTTCGCTTTCAACCAGACCAGGACTAACACTCTGCAAAAGACAAAATCAGTAATAAATTATTCATATGACGGAACTTACAGTAATTTTAATTTTAAGACCTTGGTGATTTAATTCTTGTCTCAAAGTTTCAGTCAGAGCGGTTACAGCAAATTTCGATGCAGGGTATACGTTTAGACCTGGAAAATTCAACACTTGATGTCCCAAAACGCTATTCACGTGTACGATGTGGCCGTTGATTTTGTTCTCTTTCATGATTTTGACTGCTTCTCGTGTGGCTATGCTCAGTGCTATGACATTTAGATCAAAAACTGATTTCCAGTCTTCAGTTTTGCCTTCTGTGAGGTTTGCAGAAGCCGTTTTTCCGGCATTATTGACTAGAATATGAACGGGTCCCAAATTTTCTTTAGACCATTTAAAAACTTTCACAATATCTTCCTCTTTGGTTAAGTCAGCTTTGATGGCATGGAGTTTTCCTTTCTTGCCTGAGAGTTGTTTGGCACGTTGTTCTATTCGTTCAGAGCGGCGAGCCACACCGAGTACCTAAATTATGTTTAAGGAATTTATTAAACGAGGTAACAAATGGTCTTACGATTAAGCCTTTTTCGACAAGAGCATCTGCAACAGCGGCACCGATTCCGGAACTAGCACCAGTAACAATGGCAACTTTGCCCACCCATCTCTCCATAGAAAGAACCATTTTTAATGCGATGTTTTCGGTGTGTGCTACTCGTTGAAACTAATTTAAACGTGCAACGGACCGCCTTAAATAGGAACCCGCGATTATCTCATTGTAAATAATTTTTATCGTGATACAACAGGTTTTTATTTTCCTATTCATGTTTGAGTGGAAATGTCGAAATTGCCTTATAGAAGTTAAAATGCTGCAAATATATGAAACAAATTTTGAATTTTGGTTAAGATAACTCTAAATAAATTCAATATAATATATTTTTTTTTATTTAGCTTACATAACACACGAATAAACTTGCACGGTCATCTTAAATCGCGAGGTAGTCTCGTCGAGTGTACACAAGTTTAAATTTCGTGACTTGTGTTTTTAGGCAGCGTTTGTAAAAAAAACCTTTGGCCCTTGTTGAGTTTTCAATACATTTTCAGAAAGAATTGATCCACTGAAGTAACGACTAACACTGGACATCAAAATCTGTCTTTTACATAAACAATAACTAAACGTTCCGAGATTTTCCTCTAAGAACCAGTTCGTTACCAGGGCACAATTAAAACATGGCTGCACTGGTACCGGATCCACCCCTTCACAAAATTCATAAAAAACGATTGAATCAGTGTTTCGCGTGAATACAGAGTTTACTACTGTTCAATCGATTAACCATAATTTTTATGTTTCCTAGAACTTCGTCCAACTTAAGAGCTTCATTTTTTAAGTAAACACTCATACTGTACTTCAAGCCTTCGAACATTTTTTAAAAACGTAACACCGTTATACATAAATTTATGAATGAATATGAAACTAGTAACGTGTTTACACGGAGAATGTTTGTGGTCGACTGATAGAGTGATGATCAGCATGACGCTGCAGTTTATTTAATATAGAGTGGCAAAAGATTACGCAGCGTAATTTTTAAATGAAAGCAGCTTACTTTTCTGCATTAGTATGTTTTTCACAGTCAAAGGGTAGACATCTAGCTGAGCTTCTTCTAATTGTGCTCCTCTTTTTATTCCCGAGCGTGGGCTAAGAAAACAAGGTTGCTTTAATGTTTTCTAGACGTTTCGTGACCCCTAGAGTACGTCTTCGTCTGTAGGTATATCATGTATCGTCTGTCTGTCTGTCTGTCTGTCTGTCGTCTGTGTCGATTTTTATTAAATAGATAATCTCCGAAACGAATGGACAGATTGTCAAGTTTTTACATTCAAGGTTGCTAGAAAGTATGGATACAGCTAAATATTTCCAGAACAGTTTATCAGAACTCATTGAAATTTAGTACACAAGTATTTGAACCCTATCGTCCGAAACATTATTCAAATGTTATGGCTTTTTTTATTTTTTTAATAGCACGAAGGATCGAATTTAGTATTTTTTAAAAAAGCGTTGTATATTAGGAATATCAAGTTGAAGATAAAACGTCAACCAAAATTTGATTAATCATCCCCACCATCATTTTGATGACATCAAAAATTACTGCACTAAAATTATTTAAATGTTATACAGTAGTATGCTCCTACACTTGTGGTGTATGAATGCGTTTTGAGCTTTTCCCTTCAGCATCCAAATTTTCGAAAAAAAATCAGATTGTAAAATAGCCTTTTTATGAGCAATGCAATATGGCCCTTTCCTTATAATTCCCGTAAGCTAAGGAAGTATTGTAATCAAGTCCGTCGGGCGACTGGCTACTTTCCTATTTTCTCGATAAGTCGTGACCTCCAGAGTACAAAAAAATAGGTCTCCGGTTTCCATCTGTTTATCTGTTGGCTGTCCGTGTGAGTTTTTGTTAGACAAATAATATCCGGAACTACTGGATCGATTATTGTCAAATTTTATATGTGCATTACGAATATCATGTAGATGGTAAAGCGCTAACTAAACTCTATCTAATCATCCCCATCAACACTGTGAAGACGTCATCTCAAAATTGTCCATAGTGTAGTTTATTAATACGTGTTGAGTTTTTACCTAAGCCATCCAGATTTTTGGAAAAAAAAACCAAAATCGTATAGCAACATTTTTCAATTTACTTTTGCACCTGCAGACTCGAATATCTTGAAATTTGTGAAACCTATAATCTATAACCTTAGTACTGGCCGACATTGTGGTGACTGCAGTATAAATTGCCACTTGGAAATCAGTGACAACGTTACTTGGTTAAGCTAATTGAAGTTCTTGTAATTTTTCTTGAAAAAGTTGTAATAACCTGACATATATGTTTCTACCGTTTTAGCAGCAACCAATGCATTAATGAACGTACTGACCATTTTTATAGGCATGAATTGTAAAAATTGATAAAAGAACTTTGCACAGAACTGGAAACTACCGTCCATATACCTCTTACGTAATTTGCACTACATACAAAATCTAGATTTGATTTAGATGAAAATGCGATTGTATCACTGACATTACCATGAATTAATAAAAATTGTTCTCCCCTATGTGTTATTAAATGTTTTTCTTCTAAAATTAGGTGAACCGAGTGTCGACTTTCTGCCAGCAAGGTTGAATTAATTTCATGGTTTAAAATAATCTTTGATAAGTGCTTTAGTTATTTAATTAACAAGCAATAGCATATCTTAAAATGACCACAGCAAAAAATCACAACAAAATTCTTAGGAAAGATATAGAGGCTCGGCAAAATTATATTGAGGAAAGAATAACAACATACTGATTAGAACGAATAAGTAGGATTTGTTAAGTTTGTAAATTATAGGTTTCCAAAATCTTTAATATACAAATATATTTTTATAGGAAAGTATCTATAACTTGCAACTAGCAGTGCGATGTCCTTTCAAAAACCTTCATATTTGCGAACATATGCTTCTAATTTTATTAAAGCGGTAAGAATGAAGAGTGACTGGAATTAACCTCATTATTTTTGGTTTAGCACTTTATCGTTTTAATTACATCAATCGATAAACAAAGTGATGAAAACATGTGCACAAGAAATTTGATGCTGTAATTGCGCGCAATAAAATATACCTGCAGTGTTAGCATGACACTGTGAAACTGAAGCAGCAGAACCATGATCCTTTTATTTAGTTTGTGATAAAAGAAACTGATAACTTTTTCGTTGATCGTTAGTAAGTTTCGCAAAAACATTGTTTTCAAAACTAACGATTTATGTTTAAAGAGGTACGTAACAAATCGTTTTGACCTGGGGCCAGAGAAATGTGTACCTTCAAATACAAGTTTCGTACTAATATCGTGGTTCCATGAAATATGCGCAGTGTATGGAAATAAAATTGACATCGATTGAATTCTACTAGGTACTTAATAAAAGATTAAAACCTGTGATCGATAATAAATATAAAAAAAAATGATATTTTCTTGTAGATACGTAAATTGAATTGAACAAATTGACCATCATCAATATTAAGAACCAACCACAATGAATGAAAACATTTAAGAATAAGGAAAACTCTAATCAATAATAGTATTCCAAAAACGGCTACTCAACTGGTGCTGAGTTAACTACCGACACACTAAAAACACAATCATAGAGAATCATGTACTTTTGAAAGTGTCTTCGATCGTTATAGTTTCAACAAATCGGCGTATATAAATTTGACCAGTGAGATAGCTGTATTTAACTGAACCTTGATGCTACAATAATATTCCATTTTGATAAGTATTAATAAAACGAGCACGTGTTGATTTTTGTTTATTAAGCCACTCACAAATTCATGTCTTACCTATTCGACTGTCTGTCTCGAAGAGGACGAGTCCTTGCAAGAAACATCAGTCGCATTCCATAACATCTTATTATTACCTACTTCCTACTTAACCTACTGTACACTTAATCTACGCCTTAATTAATACATTACATATCCCCCCATTTAAGATTAATACATTTAAAAAAACCTGAATGCGCCTAATATTAATTCCTAATCTCTGTAACGTGCTGGGATGTTACAAGAACGCTTTGGCCTATCGCGTACCGGAATAACTGGAATAGGGTTGGGTTGCGGTTCGAGAGATGGTGTTTGTTCTAGTGGTGGCGGTGTGGCTGATGGCATTGTTGGTTCCCCAGGCATCTTCCTTTGTGGTACTTCTTGGTTTGTATTCGCTGGCTGTACAATTCTTTTTCTCATTTGGTCAACGTGTCTCCTCCATTTTTGTCCATCTGGTAACTCGCACGTGTAGTTTCGTGGTCCCAGTATGTCGATGACCTTTGCTTCCTGCCAAGTTTTGGTGAATCCAAACTATACTTCCCTTCTCAAACGTTGGAGAATCTCGACCTTTATGGTTAAATTGCCTTTCTGTGTCTCGGTTTGTGTCAGGTCTCATTAAGTTGAGCGTCGTGTGGAGATGTCTACCCAGCATCAATTTCGCTGGCGCTTCATTCGTTTGACAGTGCGTAGAATTTCTATACCAGAATAAATACCTGCTGACAAGAGTGTTTGTCGAAACGTGTCGGTTTCTTTGGTCTAAAAGCGCTGCTTTGAAGCCTTTCTTAAAACTCCTTACTGCATTTTCTGCTGCTCCATTTGTCTCTGGTTGTACGGCGGTCCGGTAACGTGCCTTATTCCATTTCTTTTTAAGAAAACTGAAAACTCCTCTGATGTAAGCTGTGTACCGTTGTCTGATACCAAAGTCTCTGGAATTCCCCCCCATCTTGCACATGTTTCCCTGATTTTGCTAATTGTTGCAGCGGACGTGATTGAGTTCATTTTAAAAATTTCAGGCCATTTACTATAAGCATCCAACATAATGAGGTAGTGGCTGTTATTAATTGGTCCAAAGAAATCGATGTGCACTCTTTGCCACGGACGCGTTGGTCTATTCCACGGAATTGGGATCGCTTTCTGAGGTTCCCTTGCGACTTTATTGCATGGAATGCAGCTACGAGCTATGTTCTCAATGTCCTTGTCCAAATTCGGCCACCAAAAATAAGCTCTGACTATTGATTTCATTTTGACAATACCCAGGTGACTGCTGTGTAGTTCCTCTAACAGGTGGCGCTGCAGCTTCCTGGGCACAATTACTCTGTAGCCCCACATCAGACATCCTTGTTCGCAGGTTATCTCGTCGCCAGTGATAAGTATTAATAAAACGAGCACGTATTGATTTTTGTTTATTAAGCCACTCACAAATTCATGTCTTACCTATTCGAGTGTCTGTCTCGAAGAGGACGAGTCCTTGCAAGAAACATCAGTACCTACGCTATGCGCAGTCGCATTCCATAACATCTTATTATTAACCTACTTCCTACTTAACCTACTGTACACTTAATCTACGCCTTAATTAATACATTACACATTTGTGGATTATTTATTGTCTCAAATAAATTTATTCAGAAGTACCAACTTATAGCGTAACAAGTTTATTATTAAATAATATTACATTTAAAATTTGGTTTACTTCCTCTTGTCTTGTTAAAGCTCGTTTACTGTCGTCTGAACTAACTCGGTAAATTAGCCTTTACAAGCACCCTGCCTGTAAAGCGTTACCGTGGCAGCTTTACAGGCACCGTGCCTGTAAAACGTTGTCATGACAGCACCGGAATCAAACACACATTCGCTGCGTCGGCCTTTTTCTTAATCTCACTAATGCTGTGCTAATACTAACGTTAAAATCACCTTCAAACTCTTCATCTTCATCGAATTCCACAATTAACAGAGCTCACAAACAAAATTAAACTATTTAAATTATTAATCGAATTTACAAATTGACAGTCCCGTTATTTTCAAACAATTCAATTTTCCATAGTTACCGGAGCAAACTATGAAAAATGACTATAATTTCTATGACTGTAACTTCAAGTAAAATTTCTAGAGATGCCAAAGTTGTTCATTTTCAGGATTTTCAGCAAGAGGAAGTAAAACGTTGTACGCGGCTCGCTTGCAACTAGCCTTTACTGGGGCTCACCGGATTACAGGACTCGCTCCTACGTCGCTCGCCCTGCAAACATTCCGGCTCGCCCGTAAAGGCTAATTTACTAAGCTTGCCACGTAAATAACTATTATATACAGTTGGATTATTTGTTATACAGTTGGACTACTTGTATTGCTAAGATTACAGAGTTCATGTGGACTCGACTATCTCATGGACTTTGGGTTGCTTGCTAACATAACTCCTCCCTCCTTAAGTCGGAAAGTAGGACCGAAGGACTATTTTCCTGGGGTGATCTTCCTTCATGTTGTCGTCTGTACCAAAAGGCCAATATTATCGTTATGGAAACGATAACAAGAATGGAGGTAAAGGCTGTAACATATAAAGTTATAGGTATGTGATGCTCGAAGACAACAGGTGTGTTCAAACTGGAGACATCTTTTTGAATTTTGGTGATTTCGTCCAGGTTGACTGTTTCTAACTGCAGGTGGTTCATGTTCATTGGAATGATGTTAGCATTGACATCTGGTAGGACGAACGGCTCGCCTTTCAGCGTGTCTTCTTCGCCGATAAATCTGAATTTTCCGTTGCTGCTTTGACATCGATGGGGAATCTTGACTAAGCCTGGATACCCAAGCTGCAAATCCTGTGTTGGCGCAATACTTCTTTATTTACACGGGCTCTTTTCCGGGAATGATTAAGGCATGGTTATCGCTGATTTGCTCGTAGATACTCGAACCGATGACTACGGGGGTTGATGGGCAACCACTGGCGTTAACACGTTATATTAAAGATATTACGCAATCTTCTCCATTAGGGACTGATTCGACGTCGCAAATGTAGATATCTTCTAGGGCCTCGCATTTACTTTTCATATACTAATGATTGTGAGTGCTGAGCATCAAGTACGGTTTTTGAGGTATTATAGTGGAGTTTTTCTGAGGGGTGGGACAGAGGTGATATAGGTCGAAGGTCGTAGGGTTGAAGATAGGCATGTGAATAGCAAAAATCATTTTGTTATCAAGAAAGAAAATTTTTAAAGTCGTAATCGTCCATCGTTTTATGATAGTCTCTATCGCTATTTTTTGAATTTAAAAAATTGTAACAACCATCCAAGAACCCCGTTGAACAACCCGCATGGAGAATATTAAACCTTGATCCTTTACTTTTAATTTTGGTGGGAATTGCTTTTTAGATCAGTATCGTGCTCCGATCGACGAATGGACGAACCATTTTGATAGATCCATGTTTCATCCAAATACACGAAAGTCAAATTTTCACAAGAATTTAGACACTGTAAATATGTTCTCAAGAAAGTAATTTTGGCTGCAACGGCATGTTTTTGTTCACATAGAATTATGCGATCATTTACTTCCCTGTGTTTATAACCCATTGACTTTTGTATAATGTGGTTCGCCCCCCTTTAAATTCCAACTGTTGCCTAGAATGTGTCAAAAGAGTATTCACAGTGAAATATTGTTTTTTTTTTCATCAAGTTGCCAAATTTGTCTTTGCAGGTCTTTCCGAAACATATAATTTGTAAGTAAATCCGTTGGCTTTCGCTTGCCAGATAGTGATGTGTTTAAATTTTGGTCCCGTGTTGATAAAATTTTCGCTTCAGTTGATGTTCCCACCTATGACAAAAAAAAAAAAATTGCAGTGTATTTTTACATTACAGAAAATATGTTCGAGACCCTCATAGTTACTTCCTTCGAAAGAAAGATCGGGCCTGTCTTTTAGAAACTGCAAAAAACATCTTTCTATTGCAATTTTTTGTTGTAGTAGAACTATTTTAGGCATTTTCTTTTCAAATAATGTCGCAATGATCTGTGAATCTGTCACAATGACAAATTGTCTATTCTGACAAAATTAAACCATTTGTTTGCTCGACTAAAAAATTGCGTCTAATAATTCTGATCTCATAAATGAAGTAGAAAAGTGGCAATCCAGCTCAAAGCAAATGTCAATCAGACTACTGACAGACAAAAAACTAAATCATCAAATCAGTTTATCCAACTTAAAGAAAAAATATCCAAGCCTACTTTACTATATGTATACAGATCGTGAATGGATAATATTTATTATTTAGTGCCGTAATAATAAATATAACCTTAATTCTTCTCTTTCTGACATTGCTGCAAGTATTTCACTTAAAATTCGAAATTACATGTTTGTTATCACAATTCAAGAACCAATTAAAACACAAAATAAATGCTGAAAAAACAAAATGTTACCCATGGAGCAGTGGCCCAAAAATATGTACCTATCAGGAAATTTGCCCATCCATGTTCCATGCGTGAAATATTCTTCAGCTAAGATTCTTATTAATAATAATATAACTTTTCTGAAATAGTCCTCGTCTAAAGTCCGTTCCGCTTTGATTGGCAACGTGCAACACACGCATTTGATTGATAACAAATGAAAAGTCCTAAATAACTTAATGCTACTACGTTAATACTAAAATATAACTTCTCCAAAGAAACCGATCAAAGTATTGGCGTTTTCATTACCGACTCCTAATGAAAGTATCATAATATAATTCTTCTAATCACCGTTTACGTACAAACGAAATTATTATTAGATTATACTGTGGTAAAAACACCTGGTTCAACTCAAACGGGCTTAGGGTATTTTTAAAGACCGACTAAACGCACTCAGGAAGAAAGTATCCACCACAGAAATAACAAGATATATAAAAAGATAAACAGTTATATAAACAGAACACCATGGATCTTCGAGAATTTTTCAAATGTAAATGTGTCTTCAGATTTTAGAAATCGGCAACACGCTTCGTTATTTCAGATTCAGTTGGAAGCAATACTTTCCCAGTAAAGTAACGGCAGGTTAATGTCAAAGACTTTGTCTGTACCTACTAATTACTTTCATATTGAGCAACACTTAATTCTATCGATTTTTATATCTGACGCAGAACGAACACATTTTTTAGACTTTATTCGTAATCGCTGGAAATTTTACTTGTCCTATCATGCATTATTAAGAATAATGACAACTGATTATGTTTTTATTTCTTAACGTTCAAGCCACGTAGCTAGTAGAAAATAATCACCGTTATTAAAAACCAATTCTGTGCTATATTTTCGGTAAATACAGGCGGCAATAATCATTAATAATTTTTTAGTTTGTTAGAGCGCACATTTATTAAATAAGGGAAAGTTATCTAGAAATTATTTTCAACTTTTTAACAGAAGAGTGCGAAAATAAGAATTTACTTACGATTGTTACTATTTTCGGATATTTAAAATCGGCGTGAATAAAACTCAACAATTTATTTCTCAGCTATACTAATTTACACGACTAACTATATATCGATTGTGTACAGAATAATTCCGATTCAAATTAACTCGTACTCATTTATCGACTGGAATGGATTTAACTAGACTCGGATTCTCTCATTGACTGAAGTCGGTTGCCGGTCCCCGGAGGTGGGTTTTATTTAGAGAACCACGCGCTCCTTTCTAGATATTTCGAGTTCCGCTTTCAGGCGGGAAAAATGGTTTCTCAGCAATAATAAGCTTTAGCGTCAAGTGTTTTTGTTTATACATCGAAAGAATGTCACGTAGAAACTTATTTGATTTGAATGAGTTTGTCGCCTGAAAACAGAGGACTAAAATTATTACTTAAGCCACAGTGGAACAGAATGTTCTGAATATTAATATTATTATTATAATTCTTATATGATGGTTTTTCAGCTTGGAACGGTGTCAATTGAGTGCTTGCGCCAGAAGAGTTTCGCCTCTGGTATGCTTGACATACTGAGTTACCGTGCTCTTTTGGCTTCTTCCTAATTTCTCAACCCTGCTTCTGAAGATGCCACTTACGAAAGTGTGCAAAACGTCGAGCCCAAAAACTTAATTGCCACGGTCCCAACCCGGAAAACGATCATATATAACTACGAATTAATTGGTGTAATATTAACAAAATTAGGAAAACAAAAAGTATCCCTAAGTGAATGCGTACTTACATGAATAACCAATACAAAAATTATAACAATAACAAAAACATAATTGCAAGTATAAACTAATTTGAATAAAATATATCAGCTACATATCTATCTGCACATCGACACATTGTAGTAATTGGCGAACGACGAAGGATATTAGTTCGAGCAGTGGAGATATGAAAGGTGTTAACATATCTCGATGCTGGC